TAAGTACAAATACAAAAGAATATCTTAATACTCTAATGTTTTATATTTTTTAAGATCATCCTCCACATAGATTGCAATTATTCCAGAGAATGGAACGTGGCATTTACATAGAACAGTATACATTTGTAAGTTTTAAAGTGGTTTACAAAGATCAACTGATGCTTAAAATTATATCCCTGGGGGTGAAGACGCATGTTGGGGAAAGTAAAGCAGAAATTTAAAGGCAAGTGATAGAGCAGGGCCCTGGAACTTATCTCCAGTTCTTGTCTTTAGGGAATTTTAAACCAGGAAATCTTAGGGACTATACCACTCTTCCCACAGTTGTTCTTGATTCACTGTGGTTGTTTCGTAGTTGTTTGACTCATTTCTTTTGAGCCCTCTTCTTCTCAGAGCAACTTCAGAGACACCTTCTCTTTAGCAGGTGCCCTCGCCTGCCTCCCTTTGCTGCCCACTTCAGCCTTTGCCCACAGTTGAAGTCTGTGAGGTTTTGGGAGTGTTGTTACTGGGTTTTTTTTTTTTCTGCCTCCTGTTAGCCTGTGGATTACCAAACACCTTAGTGACTGACAGCTGCTCTGCCATGAGGGCAATGTTGCTGCACACCTCCTTCAGCCTCTGTGCAGCAGTAAAGGTCTGTTTTTTCCATAGATACTTGACACTTATGCAAAGCCACTTGAAAGAAAGATATTTGCTAAATGCTTGTGAATTAATTTGTGATTAGTGAATAATTAAATAAATCAAAGCAATCAAAAGAGCACGTGGCCAGTTACAGCTGCATATGTAGCACTCCTCTAACAAAACAGAGAAGCTGAACTCATCTAATACAAGTCTACATTTACTGTATCTTAATTTGATTTACCTTTGACATACTATTTAAATAGTAGCAACATCTATAATCTTGTGGGTCTCAATAAGGCTTCATTTAAAAACTTACTGCTAGATCTAATCCATGGTTAGCATACAAAGTCTTATCTCTCGGTACCTGCTTGAATGCCTTTGAGAACATGCTTAATTTAATCTGAACAAAGATGCTGCCATCATAAGCCTCCAGTTTGATTTTTGTTTTTCAATCTAAAACATCTTTGTTGTTAAATCTGGTGCATGCAATGGATACTGTAAGCTTTTTTAAAATGCTTTCCAAGCGAAATTCTGCTGCTTGTTAGATATTATTTATATCTATGAGGCATAAAAGAGATGTTACTGTAGTTTGGGGTTTGTTAAACGTAACACAAAAATGAGGAATTAGTCTAAACTTAGCCATCTGTGAGAAGCAGCAAGTTTTAATGCTACATATATGTATGGATGGATATATGTGTATGTATATAAACATCTGGCAAAGAGAAACTTTTTAAAACTGAGTTATTAACCATCAGTCCCATCCGTTCTCCTTCCTCCCTCAGAGGATTCTGTTTCCTCATTTTCATCAAATACGAAGTCATTTGTGTGTGCTATACTTTAAGTTGGGGTAGAAACTTCAGACAGGAGTAGCTAAGATGGTGGGGCAGAATCTGATTTGCAATTATCATTATAAAGGTCCCTCTTTCTATGATTTGTCAAGTGAACCAGTTGCCACTAAAAATCCTATATTGTCTAATAATCTCTGCTGCCTGAGAACAGGGTTTGCGTATGCTACAAACATAGGTTCTATTGAGACATAACAGACAAAAGAGGAATAATTTTGCAAAGTGCTAGTGAGGCCTCATCTGAAAAATGAAATAAAACTCTGATCTGAAACTAGTATAGGAGGAGTCTGCTTATAATTGGTGGAATGAGCACTTTTTTTTGAGAGAGAGAGAGGCAACTAGAAGAGCTTTGCCTGCCCGCTCTTTCAGAATGAAAGCTGAAAGGAGATAGGTTGGTATCTGTAAATATACAAGAAGGGCAAGCAACTACTTGAGGTAAAGCTTAATGCTGGCACAGACATAAGCTGTTAAATAATAAATTTAGCCTGAAATTAATAAGAATGTTCCTAATTACTAGAGGAAAAAAGGTCTGGAACAGTTTTCTAATGTGAGTTGTAGGGACAAAAAAAATGTATCTGCTTTTATGATGGAATTCGGTAAGCGCGTGAAGAGAGTTATAAACTGTGGCAGCTCCAATAGCATCAGATGGGAATCATTGTCCCAGCAGGTCTCTTCAGTCCTGTATATCTAAATGGTTTCATTTAGATGGTTTATCTTGCCCCTTTTTGCACTCAGGGCAAGAGTGATCAATGTTGCCCGAGAGTGTTTTGTCAGTTCTGTGGTATGCCTTGTTACGTACTTTCAGTTAAGTTATGAGTTCAAGAAGAACAAAAAAGAAGGTAGGAGAGTGAAGTGAAGAAGGGAGGTTAGGCAAGGATAAATTGTCAAGCCATGGAGAAATCGATGTGAAAACTGAAGAAATTGGTGTGAAAACAATAGACATCTGTCTTATGACACCACTGGGTTGCTTCATGTTTTAATTGCTTTCCTTAACTGCCCCACCAGTTTGGGTCTTGCTGTATCCCAGTGCAGCTTTTTGCTCCAAGCAAAATGGACTATGTATCATTATCTTTGTAATTCAGAGGAGCAACCAAAACATAAAGATTATTACTAGGCATAAGATCTCGTGGATACACCACAGCAGAGTCAGGAATTAAACCATATCTCCTCAGCTGTGAGTCAATACTTTAAAAAAGTGATCCATCACTAATGAAGCGTGGTACAATGAATGCCATTGTTAGAGGCTGTGGAATGCTTATTTAATCACAAGATTAAAGAGAAAGGCTTCTCCAGCTGTCTCTAATATTGCCTACTTAGGCTTAGGAGCATGCCATGTTTAATTCATTCTCCCAAGTATTTTTAAAAGTCTGTATTTAAACTGAAACGTGTCTGGGGGAGGCACTGTAAGGCGTATTGAGAAGAGATATGTAAAAGTAGCACAGGAATTAGAGGATATAAGGGAGCTGAAAAGTCAGGGCTAAAAGACTAATATGTTTCAAGCGGCTAGTGGATGAAGTATACTCCCAGAAATTTCACTTTTACTTTTAAAAAGCACCAGCCCCTCTTTCCCCCTAATTCTCTGCTCCAGAGAGGCAAAAGGTTTGTTTGTGGCAGATGTTATGCATGAGTGTAGCAATTACTTTCTTTGTCACAAATCTGAAGTAAAAGACAACTCAGATGAAGGCAGAAAAGCTACGAGGAGGATTTACAAAGCTAAATTTGCCTCTAGTGTCTTTGCGCTTCAGTGGTGTTACGTGGGGACAAACTTGGCTTTCAAGCCAGCTCCTCTGTGAACAGCATTCCTGGCGTGGCAGATCAGATACGAGCTCGGTTGGAATGTTTGCTATCAAAATACCTCTGCGTGGACTTAAATCAATGAGAAATAACTTCTGCTTGACCTTTCTTTAGCTCTGATGTGGCATGATCATGCAGTAAGGAAACTGAAACTCCTCGGGACCAACTTGCAGCTGGTGTTTTCTCAGGCTTTGCTGTTGTACAGGAACTATCCTTGCAATGAACTGCCCTTGGAAATCCAGGTTTTCCTTCTATCTGAATTTCTGCTTGGTGGTGACCCAGGGTGCGTTACTAGCCTTAACGTTGTAACAAAGCCCTTTGGGAAATCTTCCCATTGTGTGGAAGCATTGGCCTGAATACAAAGAGCAAAAGAATACGCTAAAGAACGGCAAACAATAGAGGTATTTTTGCTTGTTTTACAATTCGCTCTGTCTTTCTGTTTCAGGCGCTGAAAGGGCGTTTTCTTAACGGTCTGGGCACTGCCCACTGTCACACCACAATGACACCTCTCCCTAGACGACTCTGTGAGACCGAGACAGAGCAAGTGCCAAATTTGTGTGTGTGTGGTGGCGGGGGGGAAGTGCTCTTCCCCTCCGTAACGTGCGGCACGCCTGGGCGGCTCCTGAGGCGCCGGCCCTGTTGCATAAGCCCAGCTGTCTCCCTCTGGTGCCACTTCAGCTCTTGCCCGCTGCTCCCGCCCTTCCTCCCCCGGGCACCGCGCGCAGCCCTGTCAGCGTCGCCCG